ATACCTCCGGTGAAACGTCCAATGCAACAATGTGAATCTCAATGTGCACTGAGTGAAGTAGCATCTGTTTCATCTCCGGTTACCTATCAGCAACTGAAACGAGGCATGTCCCTGATTTTTTTAGACTCTGCTTATTTGTGTTATGTGGAACAGATTGCTAGTAATACTGATGTGACTAATCTATCGTCAATTCAATTTGTCTTCTAGTTGAACGACCTGTAGCAAGCGTACGTCCTTCGATCCTTCGAAGTGGTCATCGTAAGCGAACTCATCAGATGTTACAAACTGATTCGGCCCCAGTGGTGCCAGCAGCCTCATCGTCGACTGATGAGCATCTTACACGATTGAATATGCCGTCTTTAAGGCAACAACCGGATCCCAGAGGTGATGCGTACGTCAAACAACTTGTCAGTAAAATGTCTGGTCGTTTCGAATCACTTGTGAGTTTTTAACCGAAATTTTGCTCTTATTTTTTGGTATTTATTATCATTTTTATCAGTCGTTTGATTGCGATCTTGAAATTGATGCTCATTGTCATGTTTCATTTGTGTTATTATTGTTACTGCTATAATCGTAATTGATCTCGATACTGTCCTCATGATGCATATGTTATGGCTGTGACTATTTCCATTGTTGTTGTTGTTGTTGGCATGATGACCGTTTTCCAGCCTCATCAGAGCCAGTTGATTCAGTTAGATATATTCAGTGTGAAATTAATTTTGCAGGTTTCTACACGTAAGGTATCTGCAACGCAGCAGTCAGACTCTTCGGTTCGTAAGCGTCTTTCAACAAGGTCATTGCTCGCAAATTATTCGCATTGTTTTTCAATTTGATTATTGATTGTTAATAGGGAATTTTTCCAGTTTCATTCGTATTTATTTATAGGTAACAAAACATGTGCAGAAAATTATCAGATCGTGGATATCCTTTAAAAAATTTATCTGAACGTAATTAAGGCTGATTCATGATCAGTTCATGAGGTGAAGTGATTTCTGGAATAATTTTTGACTGTTCATTCATTTCAGGAAAGACTGTGACTTGAACGCACTCTGTTGTTGTGTACCATTATGTGGACGTTCGTTTGATTCACTGCAAGTTTTGGCGTGGCATATGAGTTACGCACATCAAGATGTTAGCATATCGCATTCCCGAAATACGATCTGTTATCTGTGCGGATATCAAATGTTCACTGCGAAGGTTTTTATTTATTTTATGACTTTGATTGAAATATTCCATCTTAGTTCAGTCATTCGTTCGCTTGGGTTTGTTGAATTCGGTGTTCGAATAGATTTTTTGCATGATTGTCGTTAATGAGTCATTGACATTATGGACAGTTGTTAGTGATAAGATTGATGCTTCATTCGGATGTGGTTTGTATCAGCCGAATCTAATTTATTTCCAGGGCAAAAATGCTCATTTAACAACTAAGCATCGTTTGATTGCCGAAAGGCATAATGCTGAGTGCATTGAGCAGCGTGGTTCGATTATTGCACCGGGTCAGTTGAATTCACTCGATGATTCGTCTTAATTGTTTGTGTTGAATACGAATTATTCCAATCAGATTTGCTGTTTCAGTCGACTAGTTTGTCAAGGATATTTTGCTAGATTTGATGC